GGTTGGGTGGAAATCACATCAGAAATACAGTTACTTTAATGTGTTGGTTAAAGGAGAGGCAACCTTTAGTGTGTAGTGAAGCTTCCTGAAGATTTCTATCCTGTTTCCTGCCAATCATTGCTTCGTTTTTCCTTGTTTCCTTCTTGCAAATTCTTCTATACAATGTAGATCTTATATACCAAGTTTCCAGTCTTGAAATTTACCTGTTCTATGTTTTATCTCCTTTAAAATGTCAACTAACTACTTTATGATAAATCTATCCATTTGATTTTGAAATTATGGGTATTATTGTTCTATGTTCTAATTGGAACATTCTGGATACGGTGCCCAAATGTTGACACACTAGTTCAACTCCACTGAAGACATTATAAAGTCCAAAGTTTAGTAGAAAGAAATTGTTTTCGTATCTCATTATCTCTTATAAATATTCATTCATATGCATTCCTTTTTCTTGATGTAGAATTTGTTTCTGTTTAAATACCTTATTATTTCTTTGATTGGACACTCGAGAATATAGTTCTTTACTGTTAGTATAGTTTAATAAATGTATTCACTTTACCACATATAACATGAATATTATTACTATGTTTCCTTGGGCTTACATGGTAGCTTTCTACTATAAAATCTTGTTTTGCTATGGAAAATTATCATGGATACTATATGAAATTATTACTTTTCTAGTTGCTATTCTTTTCTTAGAAGCACAGATAGACAAGACTTTTAAGATGTAATTCCATCCTAGAAAAATAGCTTCTTTGGGCACCTTCAGTTTTATGGTAGCACTTCCTAACAAACTAAACTTGTTTCTTAATTTTCCACAAAAATTATCTAATTATCCTATTAAAAATAAACATTTTAAATTCTACAGCAGATTATTGTGTTTGTTGTTAATTTGTTGTCAGCTCTTTGCATGACTACATATTTTAGTATTGAAACTTTTATAGGGATTCTATGGATAGTTACATTTATATACATTTATGCATTTCATCATGGTAAGTATAAATTACGATTGTTAGTTTTAAAAAAACCTCTCTCTCTCTCTCTCTATATATATATATATATACATATACATATACTTTTTTTTTTTCAACAGAGTCTCACTCTGTTGCCCAGGCTAGAGTGAGTGCCGTGGCATCAGCCTAGCTCATAGCAACCTCAATCTCCTGGGCTCAAGCGATCCTACTGCCTCAGCCTCCTGAGTAGCTGGGACTACAGGCATGTGCCACCATGCTCAGCTAATTTTTTGTATATATATTTTTAGTTGGTCAATTAATTTCTATTTTTGGTAGAGACGGGGTCTCACTCAGGCTGGTTTCGAACTCCTGACCTCGAGCGATCCGCCCACCTCGGCCTCCCAGAGTGCTAGGATCACAGGCATGAGCCACCATGCCCGGCTAAAGCCCTGTTTGAGGAAAAAATGAATGATTCTGAAGTCATCTGGGCATCTGAGGACTTTTGTCTCAATATTAAAGCCAAGTTATCCATTTCTAAGTGCTTTCAAAGAGAGATCAACTCTAGCATTGATACATATTTTATGCAAGTTTTTATCTAAATGATGAAAATTTATATTCAAAAGTGATCAGTCTCATGTTTTTGGACAGGAGAGTGATTAAATTGCTTTCCTATATGAGTAATCTTATTAATGGAGAAACATTTCTCATTAAATTAGGGATTTTTGTTTTTCAAAATATTCACAATCTGACCTCCTAAATGGTAATTTTATCACTAGGTATTGACCTGGCTATGTGCTCATAATACCAAATCATCAGCATCTTCTATTTTCTCCTTTTATTTATATAGTAAAAGGCCCTGTTTAATCTGTGTGATGATATGGTATTAAATAGGCACAGGCATGTTTTATTCTTAGTACATGGCCTCTACTGTATTTGTTATTTTGGTTGGATTCTATGCTTATTCTTTTAAAATGTTATATGCAGATATTGATTTAATTCATTGGACTTCAATGAAATGTAAGTCTAAATAAAAGGCCTAAGCCATTTAGAATTAATTTGAGATGTAGTTCTGGTTGTTCCAGATACTTCATTTATATTTTCCTGCATTTGGTAATGATATTAATCCATAAAATAACTTTAAAATCTGACTTGGATCATTAAATTCATTTATGCTTTATTGTAGGTGTTTAAATAAATTTAACTAGACTATATACTGAAGAACTTGGTTCTTTTTATGGACTGTAAAGTAGCTTATATATTTTTTAAATGTTGCCTCAGGGTTGACTTTAATTTAGATACTTTGAATAAGAACACATTAAGAAACTTTGTTGCTGGGTATTATAACATTGGTAATTATGTTGTTTTTAAATTGGGAAGTAAGATCTTTTGTCCATTGATGTATTAAGACATTAGAAAATATATTAAGAACTGTATGAAACTCTTCATTACAGGAGTTCAAGTCATTATAATGGTGGTATTACAATGTATTTTAATAGCAATCTACACACATTATCTTAACACAAAATGTTTTCTTGCTGAGAAACCATAAAGACATTAAATTGTTGGAATTACAGCTGATTGTGTCATCAGATTGAACTTGATTTGTTTACACCATAGTACAGATGGCTTATGTCTTAGAAAACTAGAAAAGGGAACCCTGACACACACAAAAAACCTATATTTTGAATAAGTCTTTATATACTATATAGAATCTTTTCAATGGAAATTATTTCAATGAATATAGCTTCTGTTTCTTTAATTTTCATCTTATTTAAATTTCTTCAAATTCATATGGTCTTTTCCATAATTCTCTGTTCGAAGACTCACATCAACAGAAAAGGATTGTTTGAAAAATGAAAATTAGCACATGACCCACCCCCTCCATCTCTATCTCTGTCTCTCTTTCCCTCTCTTCCCTCTTCCCACTCCATACCAAATTCTCTAGGTATATCAAGCATGCATCTAGGTTCTTATACAAGCTACTTTCTCTGCCTAATATAATAATATTTCCCCCTAGACACTTGGATCTTTTTTCTCTTCATGTCTTTAGATATCTGTTCAGATGTCACCACCTTGAAGAGGACTTCCTTTGACCACTATACCATCTCTCCTGCTGGCCCCTTATCCAGCTTCCTGGTTCTTCACCACACTAATAACCTGAACTTATTTAATGTGTTATTTGTCTGTCTCTAACATTGAAATGTAATCCCCACAGGTCAAGAACGTTTACTTACTGCTGTATCCCCAATGTCTAGAGGACCATATGGCATATAGCAGGTGCTCAATAAATATGAGCCCAATGACTTTTTTATCACAAAGATTCAACAAAGAATATTTCTACATACAATTGTCTCCTTTTATCCCCTTTGATAAGCAGCGTTACTTAAATGTTCCTGTTTAGCTTGCTCTATTATCTGGAATTCCTTGTATATATTCCTTGCCCATTTGTTGCATCTATTGAATCTCTCGCCCTCTCTCTTAAGACAGGTACCGGGTTGTGAAGCTTTAGACTTTCCACCATGATTAAGTAATTTTATTAATCCTATTTTACTTTTACTCTGTGTTACTGGCTTGGAATTGCCACACAACTTGGTGGGAGTTCAAGTTCAGATTCCATAGCAGCATACAGCACAGGGGAGGTCTGATTTCCCTCAGATGTTCCTATCCTCCATCCAGGTGAGACTGTGCCCAAGTGACACCCCTTTGCAACTTCTCACCTTACCAAAGAGCCCAGATCCCGTATGCCAAGCATGCAGGAGCTGTGCCTCCCCTCTTAGTTCAGGTGTTCCAGCATCAGCCCCTGAGGCCCTCTGACCTCTTGGCATCAAGTCTCACTGCTCTGACTTAGCGTCTTCACTTCACTTGTAGCACCTGGAAAATTTTCTTTTTGTTTCAGCCTTGCTATCCATAAAAAACAAAACAAACTTCTCTTGTACATTAGTAATTTTTTCTTTTTGTATTTGGTTGGGGATAACTTCCCGCATTTGCTCAGTCTGCCATATTGACTGGAGGTACATGTGGAAGTCATTTACATTAGCATTTTAAAAGCTGTACTTCTGAAAGTGTTGATGCCTCTGAATAGCCAAAGGTATTTATACCTGGGCCCTCTGTAGGTGTATAGTAACAAACATTTATACAGTATTCTTATATTCTAGGTCTCTGGACATTTCAATGTTTTAAAGGAAGCATTAGACATTATTTATGAATAAATTCCATTAAATAGTGACCTCATCATCCATTTCCCATTTCATTTTATTTCAAAGTTTATTAGCATTGCATGTTTTATTTTCCTCTTGGCCTTTTAGAAGCATTTTATGAAATAGAAAGTAATCATAATGGTGACTTTTCAATTAAATATCCAGAAGCCGTTGTTTTTGACATGTTTTACTTCCTTTAATTCCATTTATAAGGCTGGTCGTGGTGGCTCACGCCTGTAATCCTAGCACTCTGGAAAGCCTAGGCGGGCGGATTGCTTGAGGTCAGGAGTTCGAAACCAGCATGAGCAAGAGCAAGACCCCATCTCTACTATAAATAGAAAGAAATTAATTGGCCAACTAATATATATAGAAAAAATTAGCCGGGCATGGTGGCGCATGCCTGTAATTTCAGCTACTTGGGAGGCTGAGGCAAAAGGATTGCTTGAGCCCAGGAGTGTGAGGTTGCTGTGAGCTAGGCTGATGCCATGGCACTCACTCTAGCCTGGTCAACAAAGTGAGACTGTCCTCTCCCCCCCAAAAAAATCCCATTTATAAGTCTATATTGATTGATTGAGTACTAGGTATATTCATATACCCTAGTACTCAGTATATACCTGGTAGTCAATAGAATATTCATATCACCATCTAGGTGTTATGGGCTGACTTTATTATTATTTTATTCTAAGATATGTTTTATTTATTTTATTTTCAAGTTGACATGCACAGACTTTAAGTATACAGTTTGTTGTATTTGGGCAAATAAAAATATAAAACGTTTCTATCACTTCAGAAAGTTACCTTATCCTATTTTATGCCTTTTATTTTAAACTTTTTTTTTCCCCCCTACCAGATGTTAAGACATCCCACCTGGAACATGAAGAGCTTTCTAGGAAGTATACTTCTCCATATATGGACGATTCCCTGCATTCTACAGACAGAAACTACTTTGTTAAATTATCGACCAAACTTTCAGACAAAAAATCACCAGTGGTAAGGGAGGGCAAGAGGAGTGAAGCAGCAACTGAGTGCAAGGCACAATGCCAGACACAAAGGGGAATTCATATTTTGAGACTAATAAGTTTCCCGAAAACTACTCTTTCACTGGTGTCAATGGAAGATAAGATTTTTCACCTATTTACATCTCTAATGATAGACACTGGTTCTAAAATTAGAATATCCAATATAAGATTCTGTGAATACCTTTCCCCAAGGCTCCCAGTGAAAATTCTGACACTCAACTCCTTAGCAAGAACAGAAAAGCACTACATAAAATTAATGCAGTAAAATATGTTTTTCAAGCGAAAATGTACTTTGTTGCTAGGATATAATTTTGAGTTTTGGGGCTGAGCCTGAAAGGTAAGTCTACTCAGAGTCCATTTTTATAACTTAACATTACTTAAACAGCCATATAACTTAGTTCCAACTTAGTCCTCTGAGAACTTTGAGAAATCAGCATGCACTGGAGTATTGAAGGCAAATTTGGCACAGCATTCAAATTAGGTTGTACTCATTTTTCATTTGTGATCGTTTTTATGTGATAATCTGGGACTACAAAAAGACTTAAATAATTGCAATTGCAATTTGCAGCAGAAGGGACAGAACTTTTGTTTTGGTTAATTCCTTGGCTTTGATTCCTTAAGGCTAGCCTGTTCCAAGCAAATAATTGCATCATCTTCTAAAGTCAGTGGTCAAAAGAATCAGACTGGTCACTGGTTACTTCAGACAAAAAAAATCTCAGGCTGTGGCGTGTACAGGCAGAGCTATACATTCTACTCTGATCAACTCATACTAGTTGTTGGGTGTTCCAGGATCAAGAAACAGTATTTCCGCTTCTGTTTCCTGTGTGCTCTGCTGCCCTCTCTCTCTCCTGGCCGGCCTCTTCCACTCACTCACAGGCTTCCTTCCCATGAGTGCACTGTCATACGCCATCCAGCCCCAAGTCTCCATGACCTCTTGGTTCTGTCCCTGTAATTCCAAGCAACTTTGCTCCATCTCTTTAATTTATGGTGCTGAAGGTGAGAGAATCTGACTGGCCCAGCTTGACTTTCCAAGCCATGCCATGGAGGTCATATTAGCCTGCATGTGCAGTCACCTGCGGTAGGGCACTCAGCAAAGACTATGGCTCCTCAGAGGCAAGAGGAGGTGGGTGCATTTTAAATGTCTATACATGATATGAGTTTGTGTCATAGTTGAGTGCAGGAAAGTCATACTTATTTATCTCAAATAAATTAAATCTGGAATTGTTCCTCTCTACTGGGTTTGTGGGAAATCAAAAATAAAGTCATTAGAAATGGGGAACACTCCCTGTATTGGGATTAAATTGAAGAATCCTGAGGGTTACCACTAGCCTGGAAAATCACGAAAGGGCCTCTGGCCTCCAAGCCCCCGTGGTTACCATGAAGATGTTCCTAAGACCCTAAATTTCATCCTGAGCCAGTGGCTCTGGTATTCTCCATATCGTCTCTTCTCCTACTGCTAGTAGCCTTTTAAAAATACCTGCACCTGAGATCTTGCCACACCCTGGGGTGCTGGGTGAAATTGAATAGGTAAGGCTGCCTCTACATGAGGAGCCCATCACCCTCTGTCATTCTAGTCCTGGGCCATTCAGCTCTTTCCAGAGAAGTCTACACTTTCCTCCTCTGCCTTTGGTATCCTGGCCTTCTTGGATGGCATGGCTTGATGCTTCTAGGAGCTTAGATTTTCCAAATGCACTGTCAGTTCATTAATCTTCCCCTGGGACATGGGAAATCCAGTGTGCAAACACTGAATCCTGGCCACCTAGGTTCCTTAATGACCATGAGAGCCAGCTCATTTCCTGGTGGGGCTTTCCTGCCACACAACTTGATAGGCAGAAACATGCATCATTGATTTATACCCCTCTTCCAGTTAATGGGTATCATAGCATATTTAAACATGTTCAATCTGAGTATTGCCTGTTAGGAAACTTCCTAGCCTAATTAAAGACTGCTCTGGTCAATGGCACTAAGGTACTGGGGGTTGGGGACAGAGGAACAGCTGGAAAAAAACCACACTCTGTACTTTTAATTGTAATCCATCTCTAATATTTTAACATAAAATTAATGAACAGTGCGGAGAAACTGGAGAGGGGAGCGTGTGATAAAAAGGCAAATGTGAGAGTAGAAGGGGCCATTTTGGGGGTGGTCGATGGGGTAGATGAACAGGTGTTACCGACCACCCGGTGCTGCCAGAGTCTTGTGAGCTTTTACGTGCCTGTCGCCCCTTGTCGGCAGTGCACCTCCCTGAGAAACTGTTCAGCCCCCGTAATCCAGGGCATCCGGAGCCCAGCGTGGAATGTCTATTGTGTCCTTTATCACAGTTGGCAGTCACTGCTCCACGATGGCAACGATGAGCAGAATCCCCAGAGGCTTGGCACCTTTGCCTCTCAGTGCCTGTAGCGTAGGTGGAGATAACAGTGTAACAGGGTAGTTTCACAGAAAAGCAAAGCAAATCTCCTGAGAACTGATAGATCCACTCTGGAGAAATCAGTGCAAATGTAACACTCATTTGCTATTGTCATATGTATGGGTGAATTCACCTAAGATGATTTTTAGTGCCTCACGTTTCTTTTAAAGATTATGAATTCAATGCTCTTTTGAAATTTGCAAGTATTTATCATGTTTTAGGAGATCTCACAGGTTATTAACCTTTTGCACAGCTGGTATAAGGCTGCGAAACAAGCAATATACTTCTTTAACATTATCACAACAGAAGATTCAGTGAAACATTATGAGGTATGTTAGAGAACATAAATTGCCTTTATATAGCATTTATAATTTAGAAAGGGCTTTTGTGTAAATTATCTTATGTACCCCTCACTGAACCCTAAAGGAGAAGATATTATTTTTCTCATTTTACTTGCCCAATAACTTTTCATATACTTTTGGAGCTTTTTAGTGGATTAGAGAAAGTAATTGCAACTGCCTCTATCAAAACCTTTATCTTAAATTGTCCAAAACAAAAAAAAAGCTAGACATTTTTGTGCTTTTTGGGTGTCTTCATTGTATATTTAATGTGTTCATATTTTCCTTTGGACACTACCAAGATAGCCTTTGACAGTGATGGGCAAAGTGGTAGTTCCCATCTCTAATTCTCTCTCTCTTTTTTGGTTCTATTTCTCTGAAGAACCTTTCCCTACTTAAAACTCCCCCTCAAAACTCACCATGTATATGAGGCCTTTCCAGTATAACCTCTCTAATCTAATATTCTGCTCTTTCCTTGGCCACAGTGTGCAACTACGCGTGTGTTGAGGTGTGATTACAAAATAATGAGTCTGGTTTTGTGTGTATCTTACAGAAATCAGTCTTATTCCTTAGTAGTCACATATGGCACATGTCATAACTAGTTGGGTAAGAATATGTTTATGCACATATTCTTGGTCTATGCTTGTTCCTTTCTCCTTTTAACTATTGACTCCTTAACCCAAGGGGGAAAATGCACTACTTTGAGTCATGTGACAATCTTGCCCCTCCTGGGTAATCTTACAAAAGCCACTTATCCGCTATGAGATGCCATTTCCTTCTCTGTAAAGTGGAAATAATAATACCTACCTTACATTGTATTAAAAGCATATGTAAACTCAAAAGCTTTGTAAACTATTGACTACAAAACAAATGTTAGATGTCACCATGGTGGTGATGGTGGGCAAGGAGGGGAGCAGGGTTCAAGCTCTCAACTGTACTTTTTTATGTTCAAGAACAGCAGCTCTTTATTGAGGGTTCCTCACATCCCTGTATCACCAAAATCCTTCAGATCCGTGAAAACTGTTTTACTGAACTTCTGCTTCCATTAAAGACAGACTTGGTGATTTGTACCAGCCCTCTTACTGAGGACAACTAGAAAAAATAATGCATTGAAGACATCAAGCAACAAACAGAAAAGTGAAAATTTATCTGGCCAGGAATTAGGCCAGGAATGAGGGAAAGGATGATCCTGAGAGGTAGGCTGGTACCAGAGGCCACTTATTTCTGTTGACCTGTGCCAATTAAGGTAGACATGGCTGAAGGCTGAATTGACACCTTTGAGGTATTGTGGATCTAAGATAATAGCATTGAAGTCTGAGATCCACCAAGGAGGAAAATCTAGTGAAACATGCTTTCTTTGTGTTGGTAACCGAAGGGCTGTAACCTTGGAATAAGGGTAAACAAGAAGTATTCAGGACTTCATGGGAGCTACAGTTTAAGCACTTACATTCCCGAACTTACATTAAAAAGGTCCTAGATATCCCCAGATACCTGACAGAAAAAAATTTCTATGAGCAATTTTGCAAATATAATGTCTAGTACACAACAAAAAATAACCAAGAACACAAAGAGATGGGAAAAATATCAACTAAAAATAAAAGAATTAACATGCAATAGAAATGAGTCTCCAGGGCCTCCAGATTTCTCCAGTATCAAAAACACATTTTAAAATCTCCAGGTCTTGATTTTATCAAACCAAAACTTTAGTATTACTGTACTTATAATGTCCGAGATACAAGACAAAAATTGGAATTTCAGCAAAAAAGTGGAAACAATAAAAAAGTAACTAAATGGAACCAGGCACAACGGCTCACACCTGCAATTCCAGCACTTGGGGGTGGGGGAGGGCAATGTGGGAGGATAGTTTGAGGCCAGGAGTTCAAGAGCAGCCTGGGCAACATGGCAATACCTCATCTCTACAAAAAATTTAAAAATAATTAGCTTGGCATGGTGGCATACACCTGTAATCCCAGCTACTTGGGTGACTGAGGCAAGAAGATCACTTGAGCTCAGAAGTTTGAGGTTCCATTTACCTATTGTGATGCTACTGCACTCTAGCTGGGGAGAGAGAGCAAGACCCTGTCTCAAAACAAACAAACAAACAAACCCAAAAAACTAGATGAGAATGATAAAACCTGGGAGGAAAAACAGTATCTGAAATTAATACCCAGTCAGACACAGCTGAAGAGAGAATTAATAGACTGAAAAATTGGTAAGAAAAATAAATCTTAGGAAGACAAGATGGAAAATATGGTGAAAACATAAGAGACATAAAGCAAACAATGAGAAAGTCTAACATGTTTTATTGAACCCTAAAAGGGGAGAAGAGAAAAAAATGAAACAGAATCAAGATTTGAAGAGATAATGAAGGTTTATGATCTTGACAAAAATCATCAGGCCAAGATTGAAAAAATCTTAAAAACCCAACTTAGTCATACATTTGTTTTGAAATTATATTTTGCTAAAAATAAAGACAAAAGAATCTAAGGAGCAGTCATAGGGGAAAAATATTACTTTAAAAGGAATAGCAAGTTGACAGCTGACTTTCCAAAAGAAATCATGGAAGCAAGAAGACAGAAGAATATCTTTATAGTCATAAAAGAAGTTATTGTCAATCTAGATATTTATACCCAGTGAAAAAATCCTTCAAAAATGAAGGTGAATTAAAGATATTTACAGAAAACCAACATGAAAGGAAACACTAGAGAAATTTCTTTACGTAGAATGAAAATGATCTAAGATAGGGAAAGTCGGATATACAGGAAAAATGAAGACCAAGAGAAAGGGTTAATAGATGCGTAAATCTAAAGGAATGTTGATTGTATAAAACAATAATGATTTTTATTTAAATATACATTAAAATGAATTATTGTGACTACATCTTTGCCTTCTAGAAGAAGCTTGACTTTCTGTACTTCCTTTTTTCTATGCTATTTCTTCACCAGCTCCTCCAACCCCCCTAGGGGACACCTTTACTCCTGAATTCAGGCCAACTCAATGAAAGCCAATTCTCCAGAAAAAAATTGCCAAATGACCAAATCATTGAGAGACATTTCAACAAATGTGTGTGTATAGCAGACAAAGCCAGTACAATTCTCTAAGTGCCCAACTGGATGAAGGCCAATGAGAAAGTGGGTCTGTGGTGACAAAGTATTAGGCACCTGTGTCTGCCAAGTAACATTGCCTTTTAATACTCTGGGGCAGGTCTACTCAGGGAGGAGAGGTTGCTTGTGCAATATCACACATCTTAGAAATGTCTATTTTGGTTCCATAAGAAAAGTGCTTTCTTCTCCTCAGGTACATTTTTCGGTGTTGATATATCCATGTGAATCCTGGGAGAATAAATTTGATTTCCAATGTCGTCGGCCTATGTTCTTTGTGTCTAATTTGAGCTCAGGATTCTCATGAAACTATTTCACTTTAACATTTCTTTTGTCCCCAAATTAACACTGCAAGTGTGCATCCTTAGATTCTAGTTTAGTCTTGTCAGAGTTTATATACTAAGTTGCAGTCTTTATAAAAATATTTTGCTTTTATTTCTAAAGTTTGTTCTTTTCTTTCCACTGAGTAAATATAATTTGATTTTTTAAGACTGTCTTTTTTGTCTTCTTCATTCCACATGTTTTTCAGTCTCTAGTAAGAAGAAAATTATTCTAGCTATATTAATCATTTGACATATTTATTTTTAATATCAATATATAGTTTTATGATCATATTTCTTGCCTAGGAAAAAGATTCTATATACAGACAGCGTGAGACAGCCCGGCAAGCCCTAATAGGAAAGACACCCCCTGACCATACACTCCTATTTCAAAGGTAGCAATTTATCATATTTATATATACCTGAACAACTTTAGATTGATTTTCTAGTGTCCAAGTCTACTAACCGAGTCCTAAATCATCAACGTAAACAGGGACCTCTGTATTAAAATGGGCCCAATGTTTCAAAAGTCAACCCAGTTCTAAAAGTTGTATTGACTTTACATTTATATATATTTTTAAAGGCACAATATACTCATAGCTACAAGAAACTGATGATTTTTCATACATTGCAAAGAATGATATTTCTAGTGGTGTTTTAATATAAGTATCAGCCTTCACCAAGGCTGTTCATGACTGAAGGTTAATTATATCCTGTTGAGTACCCTGTACTTGTCTATCATGACTTTCAAAACCCAGAGTAAGTAATTATTTGTGGCATCATTTGTTTAATGTCTCATTTCCACATTAGACTATAAATTCCATGAGAGTGAGCACCATTGTATCTTTAGTAATTCATGAATTTTTAATCCTTAGTATGAAATGTCTCACTTAGTGCCTGTCTTATACTAAGGGTTTCATAAATGTTAGTGCCTACGATGATTATTGTTCTATTAATTATTATACACGAAGAGGCACACTTGGGCTCTAAGTTTTATTCAAAATGAATAATCAGATCATTGGATGATTATGGAATGTTTACTTGTTATTTTCTCATTAATGTTACAAGTTTCAGTGTTCTGAATTCTCATTGCTATGTGACCTTTTAGAATATTTGAATAATAAAATGGAGAAGTTCCTATTTTTACAAGTTGCTAAGAGCACCGACGAAATCTTAATTATAGCACTAAAAACAAACTTTTTAGTAAAGTTAATAATGCAATGATGAAAGAAGTAGAATTTTGAAAGCCATTTAAAGTCTTTTTTTTCAATTTCAGTTCTTTTTATTGTCTGTCTTTTTAAGCTATATGTTGAGAATCTTTAACCAACATAAATAAAATTAAGTTTTTATCTGCTTGTCTACTACCATATAAAAAAAGTGTTATTAATTTCCTCCATGTTGGCAGGCTATTTTCAGATAGTCTGATTCAAAATACAGGCTGTGCGGTCTACGTACAGTTCTAAGGGAGGGTCAGCAGGGTGGTGGCCAGTAGATAGACAGTGTCCCCAGAGCAGCTGAAGCAGAGCGACAGGCCTATTCAGACACCCTGAACAGAGAACCTGAGCAGTTTTAAATATGAGCTCCCAACAGCGTGTCCCAAGCACAGATGGAGCTTTGAGTTTGCTCGCATTTTTGTGCAATAGGGCTACTACAGGCATAGCAACAACACTAGCGAGTCTGAGGTGAATAGCAGCAGGGTTCGTTCATGGTTAATGCTTCTTTTTCCTTCAAGTCACTCTGAGGGAACAGGCTAGCATATATGAGTAGATGACCAAAGACTATTTGATACTAGAGTCTAGTTGGGAGTATAATATTAGGGTTTTTAGAAATATTTTACCCAGATACTATTTCAGAACATTAAATGATGAATAAGATTGGAAAACTCCTATTTCAATTTTTATAGCAGTTGATACATTGGTGAGCCTTGCATAACAAATGCTCTAGGGTTTATAAGAGAATACATATGAATCTCAAGGAAGATAATTTGCCTATATTAATAATAGTTTAATAGATAAGAAATATTCACAACAATGCAAATTTGCTTAATCTTCAGATTAGAATGTAACAATGCCAGCGACTAAGACAAGCTCTGAAGTGACTTTTTCTGAGTGGATATATTACATTATTTCACATAGATTTCATTGGCATTTGCATTTACATGGGAAATAACTGTCAGTATTTAGGTATTATGTGTGTATACACTTCGTATCATTATAAAATCCTATGGATTTCTTCTAAAATTTCCAATTTCAGGGGTCCTGTACCAGCACCTCTCACCAGTAGTCTACGTTATTTTACATCTTTGGAAGAACTACAGAACAGTGTTGAGCTTTATGAAGATTATTTGAAAATTCCCTTCGGCTCATATCCTGAAAAGAGGTAAGTTGAGGAGTTTTGTTAGATGGAATTGGCTATTTTCTGCTAGTTAGTTAAAATCACAGTAGTCATCTCTTGGCTTCAGAGAAATCCTGAAAGTGGGAAGCAGGACCCCACCTCCCACTGTGAAATTCGAGAAGAGTAGACTCTGCCCCTCTAGGAAGGGCATAGGTATAATGTAGGTTCATACAATTTGAAGATTTTACTCAGGACTTTGAATCTTGAGGGAGTGACACAAAGATGCTGGGGCCGTTAGAAATTATTTGAGTCTCCAGTGGCAGAAGAACCAAGAATTCAGAGGAATAGCCTGGTGTCCATTGCAGTAGTACAAACAATGTTCTACTAATCCCTTCCTGTCTTGCAGCTCGACTGTGTTCTTGGCTCCTAGCTTACGTTGGTTCCTGCCCAGTTTTTAACCCTGGTTCTCAAGTAATAGAATTAATGAAAACCATTCAGTAGCCTTCCAATAACTCGCTTTTCAATATTCAAATTGGCCAGAGTTGGTGTCTATAATTTGCAACCAACATCTCTGATTAGTACAATGCTGTATCTCAAAACATTTACCAACTGATGTCCAATATATAAAAGCGCATTTCAGAGTTCCAATGTTTAATATGTCGAAGTGGGATTCAAAAGCTGAATATGTGTAGGTTGAGGACCTCATAGATTCCCTATCAGAGCCTCCACCACTGATTTTAATGTTTGCTTTTGTGGGCATTCTACTACATTTGTTTCTCCTTCAGTTGTTCCTGCCACTGCAACTGACCATCTCTCTGTTGGTCTTGAATACAAACTCCCCATGCAAATATCTGGCTGGTGGGTCAATCGCCATCTACTGGGGGTGGGGGTGGGGGGTGGGGAACCTCTTGGGTAGATAGCTCTGGCTAGGGCCATGATAGGTTATGGTGTGGCCTATAGATTGGCTGCCCCTCTGTCACACACCCATTCTTTAGCCAGATATCTGTGGCCAGATCAGTGACAGAGAACAAGTGAAGAACTCTTCAGAAGGAGTCTGTGGGTATGGCAGTCTCTCTGGAGTGTCCAAATGTATGGCAATATAATAGATAAGACATGTGACTGGAAGAAAGTACACCAAAATGTTAACAGTGGCTATTCCTCTAGAATTGCAAGTTGTGTTAATTTTCATCTTTATCCTTTTGTCTATAACTCTAAATTATTGGTACAGGATATATATTTTATATTTATATTCTAAAAACCATAATAATCCATGAGAATTTGATTAAATATTCAATAAATGAGAAAAACATCTAAAGCATATATACCCAAATACTATATTATTATCTTTTAATGATGGGATTATGGCTGATTTTTATTGTTTTGTTTTTCCCCCATATTTTCAGTAAGGAGCATTTTTATAATTTTTGAAGTATTAATATAACTTTAAAAAGTTATTTAAAAGTCTGCTACAGCAATGGGATGATGAGGATGATATATCTTAATGAGAATGACCATTTCAAAAATGAGCAATACTTCCCCTCATTGCTGAGTTTTGTTATTGGGACACTTTGAGTTTCCTTTCATAAATTGATGATGAAAAATAACTATCTTCTCTAAATGGTTTCCTCTAAGTCTGCATATTTCACTAGATACTAAGATCCTAGCATTATAATTAGTTAGCTTTCTGTAACAATGTTGAAGCTGTGGATCTCTGAGGATTTGGTTGAGCTCTGAATTGTTAGTACAGTGAGTCAGGCTGATGGGAATACAGTGAGAAAGAGAAAACACAATTCCCAACGGGCTGCAGTGAACTTACACATCACCTGTTCCCATAGTGAAAGGGTTAGGCCTGTGACTCAAGTCTGACACTTCACACGTGGTCATGCATGTGTCTTTCAACTTTACCACTTCCCTCTGACTTTCAACACACATTCATTTCATACTTTTGATACAAAAGGAAAGTAACTGTTGGAAGGCAGAACTTGCTCTGTGATCCCTATTTTGGTATGTATTTTAAATGCAGATGTATTTTTTTCCAAAGATAAGGAACCAAACATATGTGTTATGGGTTGAACTGTGGCATCCCTCAAACTCATATGTTGCAGTCCTAACTCCAAGAACCTTCGAATGTGACCTTATTTGGAAACAGGGTCATTTCAGAGGTAATTAATTAAGATAGGGTCAGACTAGAATAAAATGGGCCCCTCATCCTATTTAATCCAACTGTCCTTATAAAAAGAGACACACATAGGGAGAATGACATGTGATGAAGGCTGAGATTAAGGTGATGGAACAGAAGCCAAGGAGCCCCAAAGATCACCAGCAAACCACCAGGGCTGGGAGAGAGGCATGGCACTATTCTCTGTCATAGCCCTCAGAAGGAACCTGCTGATGCCTTGATCTTGGACTTCTGACCTCCAGAACTGTGAGAGAATAAATTTCTGTTGTTTAAGGCACTTAGTTCATGGTACTTTGTTATGGCAGCCATAGCAAACTAACACAATATATATTAAAAACCCAGTGGAATTTTTCCCACCATTTTCTTTCTGTGTTCCCTTTCATATACTATATTTATATATCATATATGTATATTTAATTTATATGTTATAAATTTAACATACTATATTTTACATGCTATATTTATATAACTTTGGATTATTGTGTTTTTTACTAAAAGAAAGAAGAACATTTTTATGCTTCTATTATTTGAAATAAAAGAACTATCCCATAAACCATAAATACATGTAAGGCTATATTCAGAGGGAACAGACTGTTGAGGTAAAAATTTAGAAGTGACCATGCATACGTCAATAATGGCGTTTTTCCACTGCAAGATGTAGAGATAAAATTGTCCCCTAGCATTCTGGGAGGCCAAGGTGGACGGTGGCCGCCAAGGTGGGTGGATCACTTGAGGTCAGGAGTTTGAAACCAGTCTGAGCAAGAGCGAGACCCCATCTCTACAAAAAATAGAAAAATTAGCCAGGCGTGGTGACATGTGTCTGTAGTCTCAGCTACTTGGGAGGCTGAGGCAGGAGCATTGCTTGAGCCCAGGAGTTTGAGGTTGCAGTAAGCTATGATGATGCCACTGCACCCTAGCAGGGTGACAGTAAGACTCTGTCTCCAAAAAAAAAAGGACGTGTCCAGTGATTGGAAAATCCAGATGTGGGCTAGATTGGTCTCAGTTTATTTTTCTCAAACAAGCCCAGTTACCCTATGTGGGAACAAAAGATTAGGAGCCAAGTTCTCCTAGGAGCACAGATGCTCCATCTAAAGGGGGTTTAGCATTCTATGCAGGGGTTACAAAAGCTGTTGTCCAACAAAAAGAAGAGAGGTTTTATTTTTGGAAAGCGAGTAGTTTATATCAAAATCATAAAAGATGTATTTACTATTGACCCAGTTATCCCACTTCTGGGAATTTATACTGCCTTTGTCCATTCAGCCTGCTATAACAAAACACCATAGACTGTGTGGCTTATAAACAACAGAAATTTATTTCTCACAGTGCTGGAGGGGGAGTCTAAGATCAAGGCGCCAGCAGATTTAGTGTCTCATCAGGGCCTACTTCGTGGTTTGTAGATGGCACCTTCTTGCTGTGTCCTCATACAACAGAAGGGGCCAGGGGGTTCTCCAGATCTCTTTTATAAGGGCACTAATTCTGTTCATGAGGGCTCCACCCTCATGACTTCAAAGCCCCACCTCTTAATGTTATCATCTTGGGAATTAGAATTTCAACATATGAGCTGGGGGTGGGGGCAGGGCACAAACATTCAGTACTAATAAAATAATGCAAAATGTAGAAGATCATTATACGGAAAGATGTTCATTACAACAAAAAAATTGGAAAGAACCTGAATGTCCAAAAATAAAGGATTGCTCAAATAACGTATGAATATAATTGATAGACTGTTATGCAGCTATGAAATATCAGGTTTCAGAGAACTGTTAATAACACAAAATTGTTCACTGAAAATGTGCACAATTACATACAATGAAAAAGTAAAACAATGTATAGAAAAAACAAGAGCCAAAATATAATAGTGGTGGTTTTCTCTGTGTGATTTTCCTTTTTCCTTCTAGTTCTCTGTACTTTCTAAATTGCCTATAATGCATATGTTTTACTTTTATAATGAGAAACAACTAGTAAACTTTATTTTAAGGAAATTAATACAATGAGCAAAGATAAGTCCACCTAAAGCTATTGAACTAAAGTATAAATGTGCGTAGGTTGTGAGAAGCAGAATTACAAAGACAGCAGATCTTGTATAACACTTACTAGATGCCAGTTCCTGTTCTGGGACTGTGATACATGTTATCTCAACACACATACATATTAATTTATAACAATTACCCCATGAGGATTAATATTATTATTATCCCCATTTTTAAAATGTGATGATGAGGCAAGTTAATTAATGGGCTAGGAGACTTGCTCAAGGGCACGTAACTAACAAGTCTCAGAGCTGAGGTCCGAACGCAGGCCAAAATGCTCCAGAGTGTCTGTGCTAAGCCACTCGGCCATGCTGCCTGCAAGGCTTAGAATCTAACTGAAGAAATTAGACACATGTGAGAGAAACACCAAAAACACAGAGAGGTTTGTGATGAATGAAAAACAATGAGTTCAGACATCTTTTTTGTCCGATGTTCATTATCTTCTAAAAAGGGGTTTCTTTTTCTCTGCATTTTCTTTTATTCTCCCAAAACTACCTCTTATTTACTAAATCCTCCCAGGACATCCCAACATCTCCAACAGAGAATTCAGATTCTCTGTTGTATCCTAAAGGAGCCGTGTTAAACTTTCACAAATGTGAAGGCCCCATATTCGTATTTCAACTCTATGTCTGGGGGGTTAGCCTACATTTGCACCTGTTCTTTTTGACATGTGCTATTGATTGGAAATCTTTCTTTCTGTGTGTGCATGAGGAGGGGGAGAACTTTTTTGCTTGGCCTCAGCATGATCCCTTGCTGAGGTCCTTCCAGCAGCTGAGAGCTCCCATCAGTGAGACAGTAGATGAGGTCAAGAGCACAGTCTATAAAATGTTTACATCAGCTACCATCTGGTCTTGGAGTCATTGGCCCAAGGAACCTGGGTTGGAACAAGCCCCCTGTGGCTGTCTCAGAAGAGAATCGCATCACTTTGGCTATAGCACCCTCTTCCCAAGGCCCAATGGTGATACATCTCCAGAAGTCTCATATTTTCCCCATCTTTCCTCTTTATTAGTTGAATTATCCTACTCCCACCCCCGAACCTTCTCTTTAAACATATCTACTCCCTGTCTTTGTCCTGTTAGTCTTCCAAGCCGGCTTCTTTCTATCATTCCTGAAGGTTACCTTGACAAAGATGTATTCTAGAACCATTAAGTTGAAGAGTGGAAACCTGCCAGAAAAGGGACAAGAGCCTAAACAAACTTGGGGGGTCCAAAGGTGGGAGTTAGGGGGGGTGTGGTTAGGGATAGGAGAGGAACACTTCTAGCTTTCTGTCCCCTTTACTGAGTCAGGGACTACTCATGGTGTGACTTTAACGTTTAGTGAGGAAACTTCACCCAGTAAATCTTGCCCACTCTCCTTGTTAAGCTTGAAAACCTGCCATTCGAGGTACAGTCCTATATTCCTTTAAGACTTGTTAAAAGGCACGATTTGTCCAAAAAATAATAGTTTTAGGTATCAGCCATTTCTATGTGATCAATTTCAGATTCTTTAATGAGAGTAAATTTGGTGGGGGTGAGGCACAATTATAGAAGTGAAGGGCCCAAAACTGTGAGACCTGAGGACTGTAAACTAAGTCCAGCTACTCTGCAAGGCTTCTCGGCACAAGCTTCTCTGGTAGAGCTGCCTCCTTGGAAAGAAGCCAGGAAACAGGCGACTCTCATAGGAGAGGAACCTGGCCGTAAGAAGCGCATTGGCCCAGAAGCAAGGATTTCAGGCACCCAGATCATGCCCCAACCTTGTCCTAAAAAGGTAAACAAAATTACAGTCCCACAAAACTAGCTTTAGATATGCCTAATGTGGGGTTCAGATCAGGCTACCTAATATGCTTTTGCTTTCTCTGTCCTTGAAATAGCAGGAACTGCCATACAAAAATTGCACTTGATTCCAAAGTCCTAGAGATTAGGATCTGTGCCTTTACTCTACTTGTTTTATCATCTAGCACCCATCATGATGCCTTGCTCTCATTAGGTACTCAGGCATGTTTTGCACAATGGATCAGAATTTTATGCTAATGCGTATAGTACTTAAGGTACTTTAAGGTATGTCAGCTGCTTCGTAGCATTTGCTATAGATACCACTTAGTATATGTGCTGCCAAAGCGAGCACATATAGATACCATTTAAAACAAGCTCAATAGAGACATGTTTACAAACTATTGGCACGACTTGATTAAGATCACCCGATGAGGTCATAGGAAGAGATTGTATGGTCCTTAGTAGTTTCACATCTCAAAAAGATCTTTTGCTTTTCATTTTTTCAGTATCAAGGATCTCTATGCTTCCACGATACATCCTACATTATTTCAGTTTTATCCATGGTCAAAAGAATGGCCTTTTCACCCTCTAGAAGGGAACATTTCTTCACACCCAGGATCAGTAATAAGTGATGTTGAGACGTATCAAGTCCTAAAAGGTAAGAGTTGTTTGACATGGGTTCTATAGATATAAACATATACTATATTTATATACATTTCTGTCTTTCTGACTATTCCAGATTTTTTAAAAATTAAATGAGCATATTAAGTCAGAATTTCCCTCTGGGGTAAGGGCGCCATTGTTATAGATGAGAAACAAAGTTCAGAAAGGTCAGAATATGCCCAAGGTCACTTTGCTACTTAGAGGGGAAGCTGCTGCTCTGCCCACCTGGCCACACTACCTGGAGGAATCTGGAGCGAGGGGCACATTCTCTCTGGCGGTGGTCGTTGGTGACTTAGACTCCATTCTGTGAAGAAGAGTAGAAACATGGAGGGTTTTGAATTGCTGTCCAGTCTTTTACTGTGGAGGTTTGGCAGAATTGTGATGGTTTGGGGCTTCAAGGATCTCACCTAGCCTCTCACTGCCCTCTCACCGCCTTTTTGTCCCTAGTTCCCCAGCACACACTTGAGTGCGCTTGATGAGGCAGAGACAGACTGGCTATTGCATTTTTCTCTCTGCGTTTGGGGACAATGATCGTAAATAACACCGAGTGAAGACTTTGAACAGGGTGGGGAAACTGAACGACTAAAGATGAAAGTGGGAATGGAAGAAAGTAAGCCAGGTGTCAGGATCGAAGGTGGGGCTCTGGGAGTAATTGATAGAGGAACGAGTAAGTTGGGACAATTCCCTAGGACCTGGAGGCTGGGAGGGAGCCTCCATTTGTTCTCTTGGGGGGATGCTCTGCCTGAATGCAGAAGAGGATGTTCTTCTTGAACCCTGCTTGCTCAGGTGACCAGAGGAACTAGAAAGAGAATATAGACTTGTTAGGTTGCCTGGGACAAGAAGACATAGTAGATGTTGTTTCCAAAAGGAAGGGAAACACTAAAGCAGGCATGGTCTAGCTAATTCAAAGGTAGACTCCCCTTCAGCTGTAGTAGTATTCAGGATTGTTAGCCAAAATAAGATATTTTCGAGAATTTTATTCATGAAGAACACAGCAATAAAGATTAGAGTTTCAAGACCAAAGCACCAGCAAATAATGCCAAATTCTCAAGTAAACCTTTTTGTCATCTCACCGGAAGTGGGAAGTGTTCTAGGACCACTTTAAAGGCTATAACCTGCCACCTGAGGGGACCAGGAGCTCTGGGCCAAACATGACACAAGGCTCATCATGGTTCTGGCTTTCCATAGGACAGTGTCCCCAGACCTTCCCTATCTCATTTTCTTTTCCCTGCCTGTATACTTCCTTAAATGGGTTACTTAGAGTCGAGCACTGCATTCCAAAATACAATGTGGCCAAAGCAAAGTGGAGCTGTTATTTAGATATGGTACAGTAGAAAGAGCATTAGGTTAGGGATCAGAAGACTTGGGTTCTATTTTCATTTCTGTAATGTCTGGTTGTATAATGTTTGGCAGATCAGTTAACATTTGAGCCTTGAGAAAAACAATATCTGTCCTATATTGGTATAATATTATCATATGTGATTATATATTACTATAACATATATATATTTTTTTATAAGGCAATATATTATAGGACCAGATAAGTTGAGGTTATGGTATAAGTAAGAAGTAAATTGCTAGATACCTCCTAGGTATTGTGATTATATATTTTTATACATATAGCAAAAGATTATGCTAGTTTTCTTTAGGGATTGTTCTTATATATTTATTTTGTCCCTTTGAATGGGCCATGTTTTTCTATTTCTTTGTATGCTTTCTGATATTTTGTTGAAAATTGGGCGTTTGAAAAAACAGCTACCTCTCCAAGGCCGCAGACTGGTTCAGTGTAGAAAAGACCTTCTCTAATTAGCAGGGTGTGTTCTGATCCTAGGATCAGCCCTGCATGAAGGCTTAACATCTTTTCACGCCTTTTCTGGGTAAACATTTTCCCTGGGCTTGTGTGTGTACTTTTCCCCCGATTCCCCAGTATACACAGTTGCTTTTAAATGTCTTAGTTTTCCTAAGAATCTTACCTCTGCTTCTTCTTGGGGCTTTAGCTGACCTGTTGCATTCCTCAGTTAGTAGCCCCCTCATGGTTTTCACGAGCCATGCCGGTTGCTTCCTTTGGCTTTCCCTAGTTTGAGATCCCAGATATGCCTCTACTGGCCACCTGAACTCTGAGTTGGATAACACAGAGACCCATCAGGCAGCCCCAGACAGGTCAGAAGGCTGCAAATTGAGTCTGTTCCACTCTCTGTGGCTCACGGAAGGGAACTGGGGACCTGGCTACACTTCCCCAAATCCCACTGCAGTGTGCTGGGGAGGGCCTAGGGCCAGGACAAATAAAAACACCATAGAATTTCTTTTCATTTTCAATGTGGCTCTTTCTTGGTTGGGTATTTGTTTGGTTGCTGTAGATATCTGACTGATTCCAGAGCATCTACAAAGTTATTTTAGCTAGTCTCTAGTTATTTATTTAGTGTTTCCATGGGAGAATGAGGAGCTTCTTAGGCTGTCATTTTGCTCATGTACTGTGGTGGTTTTCTTACATCACATTGCTGGCTCTGGGTCCGTTCAACCCTCCTGTCTTTTTCATATGAACTGCCAAAGCAGGTCTCTATCATCCAATATATGTGCAGTTGATTTTCTTCTTTACATAACTGTAACTTTTATTTTCACCCTTTTATCATTTTGGTTTCAGCCTCACATTCCAGCTTGATTAGTTCATTTTGGATCTGATTCATCTCCCATATTCACTATTTTATAGATTTTTGAAATCTATAAAACTAACAAGCCTTTGTCATAGTGACTGTCAACAGTAGGACCCAAGAGTTGGCCAAGAGTAGTGTCCTGTGACAAGTCTCTGAAGACTCAATTCCAGGGAAAGCCCACCTAATATGTGATTACTACTCACGGTCCTCTGTTCGCATGAAGACTTTGATAAGTGCCCTGCAGAAATCAAGATATATTACATCAGTGGTATTTCCTGACTCTAGAGGTCAGCAAGTCTTCTGTGAAGGGCCACACAGGAAATGCTTTTGGCTTTGTGGGCCATGTGGGTTCTTTTGTAACCACTCCACCCTATGATTGCAGTATGAGAACAGCCAGAAACAGCTTGTAAATGAATGGGCAGGGGCTGGGTGCCAATAAACTTTATTTATAAAAACAGGCTGCCCACCAGATTTGGTCTATGGGCTCTAGTTTGTTGACACCTGCCTCAGTAAAATGGAAATTAGGTTAATTTGAAGTAAATTTTCTTTGCAAATCCCTTCTAACACTCATTAATCACTATAGTACTTTCTAAATGTGTAATTATTTCTTTAATAAACTGAAATTTGCTAAGGTTTAAAGTCAAATGTACTGGTTTGCAAATCCTTATTCCTATTTTTTTTTTTTTAAATGGCAATATTATTTGTCTCTGGGAGCATTTCTCACTGTCAATAAATTCTCAAATGCAAGGTTACTCTAAAACTACTTCAGTAAGTAATTTCAGCATCCCAAGATGTAATTTATCTGGTTGTGGAAGCTTGAACTGATTAACAGAGAAGGCCTACTCTCCTACTGTCCTCTTTCTTCTCTTAAAATGTTTGCCTTATGCTTTCCTCTTTAACAAATATCTCCATGATGAGAAACAAAAGGAAACAAACAAGGAAGAGCTTTCTTTTTCTTTTTCTTTTTTTTGGGGGGGTGAAGGGTGGGGGCCTCTGTTAACATATCATCTCCTCAAGCAGTGTTCTGTTTTCTCTGAATTTACCTTAATGAGGTTAATTTCCCCTTTTACTTTGGATTGCTTTGATTTGGCCAATAGATTCAGTCTTCCTGATCTTATACTGCCTTCCTTTTTTTTCCATTTCCATAGAATCCTCTGCTTCACTTTCTCAATCCCTGTTATACTGCTTTCTCACCAGTAAGAATATTGCTTCCTCTATGGCCACTAGGCCTCTATCTTTGGTCTCCATCTTCCAAACTCCTCCTCCTTCCAACAGTCCTCAGAGAAACCTCGCTCCAGATGTCTTCCTGCTTGGTGAACAGACCAGTCTCAGAGGGCATTAGATGAAGCTTCTGTAGGAAAGAGTTCACAGTGTGTGTGTGTGCTGAATCTGCATGTGTATGACTGAGAAACAGGATGGCGTGGGGCACTGTTACACAGGGTATGAGCAAGGTGGAAAAGTAGCATAGTAGTTTCTTGCTGTAGCAACCTTCTGGTCATTGGTCAACTTTACACAACCTAAGGCTTATTCAACTATATGCGTGAGATATTCTGACCTCTTTCACTATTTTTCTTCTTTTTTTGCATGTCATTTATTCCTTATAGTTTATGATAAATTGATTCTAAAAATTATTCCAGTGTTTACATCATGCAATGCTTATTTTCTTTGTTCAGTGTACCGAGGGATTAGCTCTATGTGATGTATCATTTTTTCTTAATGTTTTACAGCAGTACCTGTACAATCATTTCCAGATGAAAAAGAGTCTCTCCAACAGAGAAAACAGTTGAGCCTGGTCATCACTCGCCCAGGTTCCAACACCAAACCCATCCTCCCTCCCATCCCTCAGGGCCGCAAGTAGACCAGCACTTGACATCTGATCTAAACATGGAAAACGTGCTCTGATGACATCTAATCCCTTTGTCTTACCTGCCCGTGGATCCCAGCTGTTTCTCACTCAACCGATTACCTACAAAAGAATGTTCCACCTGCTTTAATTCTCTCAATCTATTCCTTTTGTGATTCTCTTTCATTTATTTAATTAACGTTTTCTTTTTTTTAATGTGAACTATTCTTAGCTTTTAAAAATGTCATTTTGGTTTTTCCCATAGCTATAAATGATTTTTCCAGCTGCTTCCTGCTCTGAAATATCAGATGGCAAAGCCTCCCAAGATCTCTGCCTTTCTATATGCACAGTGATTTTTGGATATATCTAACTGGGATTGTGCCCTTAAATTTTCAATATGTCCATTTATAACAATGTATACACTAGGGGGTTGAATTATTTTGTTCTGATTGTAAAAGGACTGTAAGAGTTCCATTTAACTTGTGAACAACATGATATCAACTGCATCTCTGAAGGGAATTAATTAATGTAGTTGGGGGGCTTCTTGCGTTAGCAATATGAAGGAACAACAAATATCAGTTACTTTTTTATTTTGCCCTTGCCTGATCTAATTATATACTGCTTGTCATGAGAAATGTTTTTAAACAACTTTTATCATCTTTGTGGTTTTTGCAGAAAAAAAAAACCCATTGAGTAGTTAATAGACAAGATTGATATTCCTCTAATGTGTTCCAGTAAGTCTATCCTGGTTGTTAAAACATTGAAATACATCCCTTTGACTTGGCAAATGATTTCTTTCTCAGTCCTTCATGCATGATGACTAGTGGGAACATAAGCCTCTGTAGTACAGTACTAATTGTTAAGTATTTTAAAGATCAGAATCCTCTAATGATTTTCCTTTTTAAAATATCAAAATCCCCTTTAGTAACCCTTTTCCCCATAGCAAAATTGATGTAACACGATTTGCTATTGTCTCCTCTCTTCCATCTAGCCCTGTTCTTAAACAGGAGCTGGTTAAGATTCTTTTCTTGGGGCTGGGTGGGGGTGGGGAGAGCCCTGAGTAGAGGACAAGGCTGAACAGTGAAAGGCCACCTTTTCTGGAGAAAAGTAGGGAGTCAGAGGGTGGCTCGCTGTGCCCCAAGAATCTTCAAGAATAGTTTCACTTTCACAAGCATCATCTAATCTTTAAAAAATTATTATGAACTATTTTAGGGACATTAGAAAATATAAAAATAATGATTCCAATTTTGAGACATGGAGGAGACACACATTTCTTTATTTTTACCACTAAGTGCAGCTGACACCCTGAACATTATATATAAAACATACATAAGAAGACTCTGAGAGGTGAAAAGAAGAAGTCAGATAGGTTAGGGGTCTCAGAACCTGAGTTGTCACTCAGGTGAGTGACATGGTGGTGAGTTCTCTGGGTTTACTTTTTCCTCATATATCCTGAACTGGTGCTGGAAAAACTATAATCCAAAGACACTAATGTATACACCCACAAAAGCATCAACAAAAGTCTGCTCTCTCCAGCCAAAGGACTAGGAAAGAGGCAGACTCAAAAGATTGAAAACTTTTAGATAATAGCTGCCCCGCACCAGCCAAACAACATGGGATGAAACTATGGCCCCACCCTTTCTCCCCACACCTGTCAGCAAAGGTTTCCAAATTCTTCTGGCTGTAATAAGGTTGTCCTCCTTATTACATCCCTGTTGAGGTAGTGCCAGAGAAGGTCTTCTGGAGATCCAGGACTTTCACCACTGCCCAATACAAATGAGAACAACTTCCCACAGTGTCATTGAAGGCTACTTGGGGAGCCTGGAATTCCACTCCCCACGTGGTAGAAGTGAGGCACCTACTACCCTTCTCACTGGAGGGTATCAGAGAAGGTCTCATGTAGAGCCAGGACTTTCACCACTCACCTGTCTCCTTAGTGTCGGTGAAGGCCTTATGGGGAGTAACCAGGTAACCTCCCCTCAGTCAGGGTGGTTCAGCAGAAGCCTAGTGGGTTCCACCCCCACCCCCAGTATTAATGAGATATCGCTTCCCTCTTTCCCACCCTGTCTACAGAGGCTAAGTAGAGAACTTGGACTTCCCCTCTCCCTGGCAGTAATAAGCCAGTGTCCTTTTCCCCCTGGCATAAGATCGGGGGTCTTGGATAACACACTACCCAAATATTCAAGATATAATTAAACCTCACATTATATCAACTTCAACTTGAATAAGAAAAGAAAATCAACATACGACAACACAAAAATGACACAGATGCTGGAATTATCTGGCAAAGATTTTAAAGCAGGAATCATAAAAATGCTTCAACAAGCAATTATGATCATGATTGAAACAAATTAAAAATAGATAATTTCAGCAAAAAAAATATAGAAAGGCATAGCAAAGAAACAGAAGATATAAAGAAGAACCAAAAGGAAATTTTAGAACTGAACAATGAAATAAACGGAAATTTTAAAACTCACTGGATGGGCACAACAGTGAAATGGAGAGGACACAGGAAAAAAAAACTTAATGCACCTGAAGACAGAGCAATTGAAATTGCTCAGTTTGAAAAACAGAGAGAAAATAGACTAAAACAAAATCAGCCTCATGGATGTGGAGGACTATATGAAAAGATCTAATGTTTGTATCATTGGTGTTCTAGAAGGAGAGCAAAAGTAATATGGGGCTGAAAAATATTCAAAGAAGTAATGACCCCAAAATCTCTATATTTGGTAAAAGCCCAAACCCTACAAGTCCAAGAAGCTGATTGAATCCCAAAGGGGATAAGTCCAAAGAAAACACAAAAAAAACAAATCACAATCAAACTGAAAGCAGTGAGAGATAAAAAATGATACCTTAATTACAGGAAAAAATCAGATGATAGTGGATTTCTCATCAGAAACCATGGTACCACCAGAAAACATGGAAGTGGTGCAACATTTTCAAGTGCTAAAAGAACCATCAACCCACAGCTTTATATTCAGTGAAAATGTCCTTTAGGAATGAAGGAGAAATCAAAACATTCTCAGATGAAAGGAAGCTAAGAGAATTTGTTGCCAGCAAACATATCCTAAAAGAATGGCTGAAGGAAATTCATCTCTAAAACTGAGGTTGTAACAGAATTGCCTGTTTGGATTTTTGGGATTAAGCTAGATAATCCACGTGTGGTGAGTATGAATACCTTAGGCCACAATTAGCTCAAATCCAAAGTGAAAGAATTCTATTCTCAGTCAATTCAGGACAATCTCAATCAATTCACAGTTGCTCCTCTCTTGCTCTTTACCTCGGATAGCATTCAACTTCCAGGGGGTTACAGAGTTTCAAGGCATGGGGGGGAGGGGAAGGCCTCTGACTCCTGCGTAGATGAGAAAGTCTAGCGTCTGGCCTATTTACCAGAGTCCATGCCTGAAGCTGCGGCTGCATCCCCACCACTCTGCCCACTCCAGGTATATCAACCTCTTTTTTAATATAATTTTGCTTCTCTTCATATAAACCAGCTGCTCCCCGTGCCAGGGTCAGACTTAGCCCCACTGTGCCTTGACACTCATGCACTTGTCTTGCCTTGACAAGTCCCCACCACGTGGACATATTGGGAACTGGGTGAACCTGCTGCCTGGTAGAGCTCTGGATAGAAGCCAGGCAGTGGGCGTGATGCTCTCAGAGTCCCACACTCAAATGGGATTTCCATTGTACCCTGGACCCTGAAGTTAGGACTCTCGAGAAATTGTCCTCAACCCTGTCTGCATATAAGACTCTCCATAAGCTCCCCAAATACCAATGCCCAGGCTCCACCTCAAGCCAGTTAAATAAGGATTCATGGAGATGGAGGTTCAGGCCTAAGAGTTCCCACAGTGATTCCAATGTGTGCCATGTTTGAGAAAACCAGTGCTCTTAAAATTATTTTTGTCAAGTTTTTAACTGTTTTGCCTTCAGCAGTTTTATGAGTGACCCTCTCACCACACCCTCATTAGCATAAAGTGTATTATAATTTTTATCATTACGGATTTGATAGTGGAAAAATATGTTATTTTACTAACTAGTTTTGCTATTTTCCATATGCTTGGTTTTTTTTTTTTTTTTTTTTTTTTATCATTTGCTTCTTAATTGAACCATTAGTTCATGTTTTGTTTTTTTTTTTTTTTTTTGAGACAGAGTCTCACTTTTGTTGCCCAGGCTAGCGTGAGTGCCGTGGCGTCAGCCTAGCTCACAGCAACCTCAAACTCCTGGGCTCAAGCGATCCTCCTGCCTCAGCCTCCCAAGTAGCTGGGACTACAGGCATGTGCCACCATGCCCGGCTAATTTTTTGTATATATATTTTTAGTTGGTCAATTAATTTCTTTCTATTTTTAGTAGAGACGGGGTCTCGCTCAGGATGGTTTCGAACTCCCAACCTCGAGCAATCCGCCCGCCTCGGCCTCCCAGAGTGCTAGGATTACAGGCGTGAGCCACCGCGCCTGGCCTAGTTCATGTTTTTGTTATATTCTTATCCTGGAATGTTAGTGTTTTATGTTTCTGTGAGAGGTCTGTCTATTAAATATTAACTCTATGGTCCTCATTTGTTATAAATATTCATCTCAATTTGTTATTGGTCTGTATTTATTTTAAAGAGAGAAGCTTTTAACTCTATATTTTCTTATGTAGCGTTGGCTTATGTATGCTCATGAATTCTATTTTCTAAAAGCATGGAAATGTGTAGAAATATCTACGTCGTCCACTACGGTAGCCATCAGCTCCATGTGGCTAGTGAGCACTTGAACTGTGCCTGGTGTGACTGGGGGACTGAATTTTCCATTTTATTTACTTTTAATTAATTGAAATGTCAGTGATCACATGTGAATAGTGGCTACCATATTGGACAGTGCAGTTCTAAAGCGCTTATTAATAGTTTTGTTCTTTTGGCCTGCCAGTTATTTTAAGAGTTTTCTTCTGTAATTTCTAATTTTTGTGGATTATAATGAAGAAATGAACGTTTGGCTTCTGTAGTTTATATTTTGTAAACCTTATTAATGTTCTTTATGCCTCCTCATGTGCTCAGTTTTTAAAAATCATCAGTGAAACTAAAAAGAAAAGCTATTGTATAAAATTTTGCTACATGTATTAAATTTTACTAAGTATGCTATTCAACTACCTAGATACATCCTCTTATTTTTATCAACTTTTTCTGTATTAGATGATAATTGGTATTTTAGTATGTCACTATAATTGTGTTTCTGTCTCTTTCTTCTTATATATCAAAGTTTTTTGCTATATAAATTTTGATGTTATGTTAATCAGCTCATAAATGCTCAGGACTATTATATCATAATTATGGATTTCATCTTGTTTCAGTAGAAAAGGGTCTTTTTTTTGTTTCATTGTTTTATTGAATCACTTTTGCTTTGAACTTTCCTTTGATATTATCAGCACCACCTGTGCTTACTTTTATTTGCCTGATATATCCATCCTTTTAATCTTATTCTTTCTATGTAATTTAATTTTGGTCTCACTGTTGTTCTTCTTTAACTCAATC